GTTTCTCTGTGGCTGCACCACAGAGATGAACAGAGAAATGGGGCCTCATTTGGGAAGCTCAGAAACACTTAGTTTTGCCTTATTATTAAGCCTCGCCTCTACAATAGATCTAATTGATTTGATCATAAAGAAACTAAAAAAGGCATTTAATTGCAGGATTTGGTGTAGCAAGCACTACGTTATATTAACACTAATTAGCAGATAGAGTGGTTGGTGTAACAATGTAAAATTTCATGACATAAGTCTGAGTAGCCCCTTCATAGTTGCAAAAGATAATGTTAATCTTGACAAATTAATCCAATTAAGTTCAATTAAGGAAATGAGCATTCAATTGAAATGCATTCCTAAAGGTCTTTCAGGTCTCCACAAGAGTTGGGAGATCTATTTATGCACAGTAAAAAAAATACATTTTAAAGAAAGTTTCTGAATCTTAGCAGTTCCTTCTAAAACTCAGTGACCCATCTCACAGGAAAAATATGATTAATAATCAGCATACGATTCTGACAATCAAGTTCTCAAAGACAGAACAGTCAGAGGTTGATGGTCAACCTGGAATATATAAATGGCTGCAAATGACAGATGAAAGTTTAAGCAGAGTGATCATTTTGGTCTATAAGATCATATATTTGTTCAGATGTGTGGTGTCGTCACAGTGTTTTTCTCACCATGACCAGAATGCACAGTACACAACCTGATATTATCTGAGATATTACCTGCTCAACTTGCCAGAGGGTTTCCAGATGTCCGCCTTCAGGTTCAGGTTACTCATCAAACATTTGTCTGCTTAGGGATCTTAAAAAGGAGATTTCCACATAAAGGGATTTGAAAACAAACTTGAAATTAGCTCTTTTTCAAAACACTTCAAATTTATTATGTAATGTGAATTTAACAACATAGAGAACCATGCACATTTAAAATTAGCTGCTGGCATGGCAAATCCTTAGAAAACTGATGGGTGTTGTAGTGAATAGATCCCAGGGCACTGTACATACAAATTCCACTTGGGTCTACCTAATGTTCCTCTTTACATCAACTGGTGAAGCAAGTTCTTACTTCTTCACCTGATCTGCTGTATAGACAATCTGCTACTGCAGTGGCTTCCCCCTTGGAAGATTGCTTATACATTTGAGGAATTACTGTTGTCAATCAATTTGAATTATGTCTCCACCATCACCAATTGTTCTATTACTTCCCCTGCCTGTGCTCATTTTGGCCCTATGCTATATCACCTATAGAATTGAAACACTGATACAATTATTTTCTTTAATGGCTTTAGGTTCAACATGAAAATGGCAAAGAAAGAGCTTTTCAATTGTATTTATTTTTTCCATCAGCTTGTACATTAAATATTAAATACATATAATGTAGTTATACATTGCATAATGCTGATGAAAGTCTATCTTGAATAATCTTCTGGGCCTGTGCTTGGAATTATATACAAATTATTCTGTTTGTGTAGTAAGACTCAATTTTCCACAGCTAGCAATACAGAGCTCAGAACCTGCAAAGATTGTACTCATCTTTGATAGTCTCTTGACAACCCTGTGCTATCCAGGCAGTATAGTAACATAAATCCATTCCATCTCTAATTTGTATTTATTTGGTCAATTATAATACATATTCATACATTCACGAATAAAAACATTTGAGGAGTTGAAATAATTTTCATTATACTGTATGTCTAGATACCTATGACACTTATTTCTGTGGTCAAACGTTTGTTTCTCCTAAATATTTTGTTATTCCTGTTGTTTTCTTAATTGGCCAATACAGGGCACAGAACAGAGCAAAGACGAGGTCGTACTCGATGAGACTTACTAAAAGCAGTTATTTTTTTCCTGACGTCAAAAAGGAAGCCCCAAGAGATGGAGTAAAACAAGCGAGACCAAAACCTGCAACTATACAGCCCTGTCGTAATTCTTTAAAAACTATGACATTTTAAACGAATTCCTATCTATAAACAAATAAGACTAATTCACATTGAAGGTTTTTACTTTATGTTGCTAATAACATTTAACCGTCCACTTGCAGCCTTATACTGTAAATCCATTTAGTTTCTCTCATGTTCCTGTATATACACATCGTGCGCTTCCCCATTCGTTGCTTGTTTGAGTCAGAAGCCAGAGCATTTTCAGATAGAGGGTTTCCACAGCGCGACCCGAGAGATGATGGACCCTTTCTCCGCCCCAATCCTCGCTGTTTCTTACCGGTAGCTGTCCATCTTATGGAAGGATGCAGATAATATCTAGAATCAATAATAATAAAACATTTTGAAGCTTTTACCAATATTTAGTTAAATCTCACATTTTTCGGTTTTAAACCTTTTAATTTTGCGCAATGCAATTCGAAAGGACTGAAACATAATTGATATTGGCTGATAATATTATATATTAGTAATAATATTTTTCAAATTATATTATTTAACTTGTACTGCCTTTTACATGTTCCAGTATACTGGTTTACTGATTAAACGCTATAATCACAGCAACACAAATACACACGCAAGAGATACATTGTAACATTGGACTGAATAGGCGAGTCCATTCAGTTTACTTATCTCTTAATGCTATTTTTCGTTTTCTCCACTGTCTAAATTAAAGTAAATAATATTAGGAATGGTATAAATAAACATACACAAACGAAATGAAAGCAATCTGAAATTTGTGTCACGTCTATACCGGTTAATTATTATCCTTGTGATGTCAGAGCGCTTAGGTGCCCACTTTAATCGCCTGAATTCCGGTCTGTCGAGTCAATGTGTGAGTGTGTGGCTTGTCCTTCAGTCCTGTCTCTGTTTTTGTATTTTGTTATTTGCAGTCTATTTTCTGAATATATTTTTGTTTTCTTATTACGCACTGTACACATACAGGATTTAGTACATCCTTAAGACTATACGCACGAAATGGAATGCAGGGTGCTATCGATTCAGAGTCATGTTGTCAGAGGATACGTTGGTAACAAATCTGCTTCTTTCCCGTTGCAAGTAAGTGCTATTTTTTTTTGCTTTTCTTTCCTTTGATATTACAGTATTTTATTTTCATTATATGAATGTCTCTGTGAAGCACACCAGTACTCGAAGAAGAGAAAACACGTTTTGGAGTGGGTAAGTAAAGGTCACATGGTTAACTACCCTTTAGCCGTCTTATGGCTGTGAATGCAAATTGGATACAGTGCAATTACAGCCTGGGCATCTTAACCGTACACGGGTGAGTTTTGGGAATATTTTATTTTAAAACCTACAGATGCCATTACTGCAGCAATTTCAGTTTTACAAAAGCGGTGGGTGGTATAGATCTCTGAATTGCCTGCTGAGATTAACATCAAGCGAAAAGTTACTCTCAGCACTTTAACTAGAATGTAAAAACTAAATTTCATATTTCATAATTGTTTCAAATAATGTATCCTGCCTCAGTGCCCTAGCTCACACAATTCATGTTGATACCTGTCCGCCAGAGGTACTGTACGTGCAACATAATTACTACATCATGTTCTACCAAGCTCTGTCACTGTCACTCCTGCAGACGGACACAGATCAGTAAAAGAGACGGCACTCAAGGGCTCTTTAAGACGTCAAAAATAAAAACACTCGCAGAGCCTGTCTAAGAAGGTGGTAAATATAACTAGCTATTCAGTCTACGTAGCTGCTTTTTAATTTTTAGAAAGACAGCTTCACCATTTCCTGAGACGTCATGCTGAATGTCGACGAACCAGCGATCAGACGTTTCGAGGGTTTTACTAAAAAGAGCAGTTTCGCAGCTTATTTTATCAATAGTTGTGGACCGCCTTTGCTAAAATAACATGAGGTAGCCCAGAGTCAGTGAAAAGTAGGGTATATTTTTATTATTAGCATCTGGTTTCATTATTACATAATATGATTGCGAGCATCATCCTCGACATTGTTAATATTCGTGTTAGCACATTTTGAGTTTCAGAGAATCTTTGTTGTCTTACAAAACTGTGTTCCTGACTTCTTGGTAATAAAAGATTCGAGGGTACTGGTCGTTAGTCTCCAGGCTTAATTCTTATAATTTTTCCATCATCAACAATTGTTCTAGTGTGCGCAGCTGCTATAAGAATGTCTATTATATTAAATGTCTCCTGTCCTATGTGAAGGCACTTTCTGAAATATAAGTGGCATTTTTTTTTGCTATTGTCATTGAGATGAAGTGCTGTATAGTAGCCTGCAGTTTCCTTTTAACTGAGTGTTGTACGTTTCAGGGAAAAAGTTCAAATTGTGTTTTTGGAATAAGGTTGTTGCAGAAATAACAATAGCTGCAAAGTATCAAAAGTATCTTAAGTCAAATTATACACATTTTCCAAAAAGTGAACCAACAACAGAAGTAAAAGAGAAAAGGTGGTTGTTAGAAACTCTTATCAGAGACACTGCAGATGAGATATGCATCAAGGACCCTGAGCTGATAACAGTATGCTGTTTTCCTGGAACAAAGGTTACTGACATTGTTCGGTGCGTGTCTGGTTTCTTGACAAAGTCGGATAAAAATCAGTTGTTGCTGTCCATGTTAGAAAACTACATTCAAATGCATTTAAATTGTATGCAGATGCTTGTGGGTTAAAATTAAAAACAGACCCAAGGAAAAAACAAACTTTTGTAGAAACAGATAATTAAATGTAAATGCTTAAACGACAGGGGTGTTAGAATCAAAATACAAACACAACTACACCATCAGCAGGTAACTATAATGCAGTAGGAATCACAGAAATTAGTAAGGGAAGATATTAGAGGTGAAGAACTACAATAGTTTACATTAAAATGAGCATACAGGCATCAGCACTTAACATACATGGTCAAGCGTCTCCTTCCCCTTTCTTACAATAATGTCTTGAGTATTTTAACAAAAGTAATTGTATCTCTTTATTCTTTAACAGGTGAAACTACTACGGTGTGTGATTTATATGCTTTAAGTGCTTTTTTTAAATCAATCTCTGATACAAGCCACACACACTAAAAAGGGTTTAAGTCTGGGCCATGTCACCAGCCAGCTGTGTCCTAGATTCTTAACATGGTGGCAAATGGGTGAGAGACATTTGTTGGTCAAATACGTTAAAACACATGTTTTATTGTGAAATAAAAGGAAAGCCCATGATGGTTATATGGTTGGTTGCAACGTTCAAGACTTGCGCTTTCCTCCTTACCCTGCTGTCTAACACAGTCTTTCGTTGTGTCTGTTTATTCCCCGAGGTGCTGGGGTTTGAAGTGGACTCCATTAACTCTGTGCAGTTCTCCAACCATACAGGTACAATGTCACTATGTGAAGTAATTCTTTTTTTCTGGCTTGCATTTAATTCATATGGTTTGCAACATCATACTTTATGTTCTGTTATCTCCCTTTTATATAGATATAAATATATCTATATCTTTTTTATATATTAATATATAAAAAAAATGTTTATTTGCAACAACAGCCCATTCACCGCATCAGTAATTGTCCATTTGGTCAACTCTTGTTGCTTGCATGAGATGTGGGAACCTGGTAACTACACATGGTTGAAAATTCAGTTTCATAATGTTAGTGATACATAAAGATTGCAAATAACTGTAAGAGTTCAAGTCTTTACAAGACATTATTGAACACAGGATTATATTCTGCCTAATAATAATAACCTCCAAATTGTAAAGTTTTATCCTAGAATGATCCTGAGCAGTTGGTATAATAGGTGTTCTTTTTATCCAGGTGGGTTAGTTTGGTGTGTAAAGCTGTAGAGATTGCATCTTCCGTGGAGCGGTTTGTGCGATAAGCAAACTGGTGAGGGTCAATTGTTTTTGGGATGCTGGTCTTAATGTGTAGTATAAGTAGTTTTTCAAAGCACTTCATTATGATGGGGGTGAGTGCAATAGGGCGGTAGTTGCTCAGGCATGTGGGGGCAGATTATTTTGGTACTGGTACGATGGTGGTTGTTTTGAAGCAGCTAGGTACAATAGCCTGGGCCAAGGCATCAGCTATCTGCCAGGCACATGTTCTGAGTATCCGGCCAGCATCTTTTTGTGTGTTCACTCTTCTTAGTGATTTCCAGACATCTAGCTTAGATAGTGTGGGGGGTGGGATTGCAGAGGAGTTAGTGGTCCAGATGGTTGGTTCAGGGTTTTAAGCTTCAAGGAAAAAAAACACAAGGAGAGGAGATAGGAGACTTAACAATTACAACAAGATTTTGGAATGCAGTAGGAATGTAAAGGGGCAGACACAGAATTAAGTGAAGGCCCTGCCACCTATAGAACAGACAGGAGACCTGAGTCAGAGAAATGAAGGCTGTGGAGTGGGGAGTAGGAAGATAGTAAATCAGACAGGTAATGAAGTGTCAAGTCAGGTGAGCCTGAGAATGTAAAAGTCGACACAAAACCTAAAAGGAAGACAGATCAGAGTCCAGGATAGGAATAATGTTAGCACTTGCACACAACCTTGTCAGGATTCTGACTTGCTGAAAAGCTTGTCAACACAACATTGCACATAGTTTGGCGATACTTCTGAAGTGGTAGAATGATGTTTTTACAATACAGCCATATCACCCTGCAAATCACAACTGGCAACCCACTGTGAGCCTGGATGAGAGACCTCCTGGGAAAAACCAAGGTTGCT